GTGTCACTGTTTGACCAAAAAGTCAAAATATTAAAGATTTTTAGAATCGGAGGGAATAACAAATAATTGTCGAAATGGGAACATTGATAAATTATTTATCCCTTAAAAAAGACTAAAACCACCCAATTTCAGTTTCTAAGTATATAATCGATCAAAACGGGAAGAGATTACAAATGTAAGTCGTTACTTAATAAATCATCCATTCGTCTCAGATAAACTTCATGACTTAAATTCATGTAATTTAAAAAAAATTGCTCTAATATGAAAAATATATGATTATAATTTGTTTAAAAAATGAGAAATGATGTGAGCCACAAATATGATTCTTTGAAAAGAAAAAAGAAAACCATGAACTTCACAATTTGATTCTTTGAAAAGAAATAACAAAACTATGAACTTCATTTTAGGATACAAGTAAAACGTGAAGCTTACCTTTTACAATACTTTTTAACATTTCTTAAACTTTCATGAAAAGTAGTGCATATTTTATTTTAGGACGAAAGGAGTAATTAGCGAACCCCATGTGTTATTAAAGTTTGACCTGAATTAAAAATAAGCATAGGGGATGTTAGCCATTGTTTTTTGGCCCCAAAATTTGAACTTATTATATTCACTGCAATTATAATGATCTGAATGGGGATATTGACTCTGGGTGCTTCAGTAATATATTTGAGAAAGTATACATGAATATATATTACATTTCAATAGAGTTATTAGTACTGAAAAAACATATTCAAACGAGCAAAAAACATTACTTCCATAACGGAAAAACATACAGTCAAACATCAAACAAAGTTGAGCAACTATTTTATTTATTTATTTGTTAAAAACAGGAAGGGAAGATGAGACTGCTTGATTCTTGCACCAGAGATGGATCAATAGATCGACATGGAAAACCGGCGCTCAAGGGGAAAACAGGTGGATGGAAATCCGCAATCTTAATACTAGGTAACTTCAATAACAACATAGTAAGACTCAAGATTCTATGGCTCAAGAAGGAATGCGTTCAATGCACTTATAGCCAGCAATAATCTGTAGTTTTTTGTTTAACGTGCAGCAAGTGAAGGGTTGGCAACAATGGCTTTCACAGGAGTGGAAGTGAACATGGCCCTCTTTTCCAAGTCTGTCATGAGAAAATCAAATGCAGATGCTGCAAACTTCTTTAGCAGGTGGATGGGTACCCTTTACGTTTTCTCTCTTGTGGGAGCTTTCCTCAGTGACTCCTACATGGGAAGATATCTCACTTGTATCATCTTCCTTGCTGTCATGAATTTTGTAAGTCCACCCGAACTATGTATGTCTACAGAACACTTCTTCTCTCTTTACATATACTTCGTTCGTGAATATAAATCCTACTTTTGTGGGGTTTCACTGGGTTATTGACCTAAACTATGTCTGCATGGGCGCTTTTTATAACACTGATATTGAAACTCTAAAGGTACAATTTTGCAAGAGAAGCTCCTGGTGTTGATTGGTTTGGTTTTGTTGCAGGGATTGGTGGCACTGTCATTGTTAACTCATATGTTCATGCTAGTGCCTAAAGGGTGTGGGAGTATAGGAGAGCTATGCGACCCACAGTCAATGGTTGAAGTTGCAATGTTCTATGTGTGCATGTATTTACTAGCAATTGGAAGTGGCTCCATAGAACCCGTACTTGCAACCCTAGGAGCAGACCAGTTCGACGAAGAAGATCCAGAAGAGAGCCGATCAAAGACGAAATTTTTCAGCTACTTTTACGTAGCGCTAAACCTCGGGTCACTTGTGGCAGAGACAGTTTTGGTGTACATTGAGACTTTAGGGAAATGGGTACTTGCCTTTTGGATATCTACCATCTGTGGCTTTGCTGCATTGAGCCTGTTAATGACAGGTGCATATAGGTATCGCCATGTCAGACCTTCCAAGAACCCTGCCTGCAGGTTTTGTCAGGTGATTGTGGCTTCTCTGAGGAAAATGAAGCTTCAAGTGCCATTGAATGGAGAAGGGTTATATGAAGCTCATGGCAGTGCAGATAATTGCAACAGAAGAATCTCTCACACAGATGGTTTTCAGTAAGTTGGTTTTCTTGATGCAACTTTGTTTTTGTTCATTTGCTAAGGATCACTCCTTTGGCACTAGGCTGCCCCACATTTCATACATGACAAACAGTAAGGGTGTGTTTGGTTCATGGGATTCCTTAGGTACCAGAGTATAGCTTTTGCCACTGATATGTTGGTAGTTGATATTGCTTTTATCTAAACAAGCAGGTTTCTTGATCGAGCTGCAATCATGGTCTCAACGGACATGGTGACCTTAATGCCAGCCAAAACAGAAGTTCCAAATCCATGGAGGATATGCACCGTGACTCAAGTGGAGGAAGTGAAGTGTGTCCTTAGACTACTCCCAATATGGATTTGCACCATGCTGTCATCCATAGTATTTGCACAAGTTCTTTCCCTCTTCGTCGAGCAAGGAGCTGCCATGAACACCAAAATATCAACCTTCAACATGCCTCCCGCCAGCATGACATCATTCGACATCATTAGCACGTCCACCTTCATCATCTGCTACGAAAACATCATACACCCACTCTACATCAAGCTAACTAAAAGAAAGCCGAAGCCATTGAGTGAATTGCAGAGGATAGGGGTAGGCCTGGTCATTTCTGCCATTGCCATGGCCACAGCTGGTGTGGTTGAGCAATACAGACTCAGATATGCCTATGAGGAGGAAGAGGCAAGTTCTTTGAGCATCTTTTGGCAAATCCCTCAGTATGTATTTGTGGGAATAGCAGAAGCCTTTGTGAATGTCGCGCAGTGGGAATTCTTTGCATCACAGATCCCTGACAGTCTCAAGAGTATGGGGCTCGGTTTGTCAATGTCCTCTTCAGCGTTGGGTAGTTACCTATGTAGCATTTTACTAACAGCCGTGATGAAGATCACTGCTAGGGACGGGAAGCCTGGTTGGGTCCCACCGAATCTAAACGATGGCCACCTGGACAGATTTTTCTTCCTGTCTGCTGCTGTAGTCGCATTAGATCTTGTGTTGTTCGTGTTTTGTGCTAAGAGGTACAAAGGTATAGTGCTAGAAAAACGAGAGGAGATGGTTGAGGCCTAAGCTCTTAACTAAGATTATTGCGTCATTCGTCTCACAAACCAAAAAAGTTGTACAAAATTCAAGTGTAGCATGAAACTGACATGACTTTATTATGAAAACAAAAGGGTTGGCTTAAAACTAGAATAACCAGATATCATGACATTATTAGTAGGAATAGGGGGTTTTCTGTACTAATATTCGTCCCAAAGGTATTTTTATAGAGAGGGCTTTAGATAGTTTAGCCAATAAAAAATATTAAAAATGCTAACAACTCGGTTGGTAAGGTTCTTTTTTTTTGTTGTTGTTCCAGCTAAACAAGTCAGAAGCTACATATTCTGACATTCTGTTGATGCATAATAAGCCACTTCCGGCCAACAAACAAAGCCTAGAATCAAGATGAAGAAGCTAGAGCTAAGACATTTTATTATTCATCAAATAGGCCCAAATTGCACAAAATCAAGGGTTACACGAATGTTGAAACAGAGATGTGCTTATTTGAAGAAGAAAAAAAGGGCCATTGTCTGACTAAAACTTCATAAATTCAGTAATAGGAAGTAGCAAAGGGTATAGATTGTTACTTTTTTCACTTTGATATCTTAGCAGCCAATTCTCTCACAATCTTTGCAGCAACCATACCAGTCATCCCATCAACGGTGTCACGCTGCGGATTGAATTCGACCACATCAGCAGCCACAATGTCCCCTTGAAGATTGTGGAGAATGTTGAGGACGTCTCTGAAAGCTAGGCCTCCGGGCTCTATGTGGGACACACCTGGGGCAAATGCAGGGTCAAGACAGTCTATATCCACGGATACGTACACGCCCTTCACCCCCTCACCTAGTTTCTGGGGACAAGAAAGCATCAAGAATTGTTATAAGAAATCAATCTTTGATATAAAAAGAAGAGTTCAAAACACAGAGCAGAAGTTAGACTAAAACCAGATTTTCCAGATACTGGCGGTCTCTAGAAAAAGTTCTCATTTCATACAGCTCGGTACCAAATCTTTTTGCTTGCTCGCGGCCTTCCTTTGTGATTGATCTAATCCCAACCTGAATAGCAAGAATTCTAATTTTAGATAGACATAAACAGCTAAGATAATGTTCCTATACCATATCTTTGAAATATAGCAAGTCCCGCAATTTAAGCTATTGTGGGAAATTCATGAAGGCTATAACTTTTGAGGGAATTCAACAAGAAGAAGGATGAAAAGATTGTTTTTTTATAAGTTTAGCAATGGAGATTCTACTTGCAAGAGCCGCCTGGCATAACCGCCTTCCATGATTCTAGCGAAACCAGAGGCATGTGAGTATTTGTTTCCTTCAAAGGCATCATAGTTATCAGGATGAGCATCAAGGTGAAGAATATCCACTTGTCCTCCAAGTTTCTCTGACACAGCTCTCACAACAGGATATGATATTGAGTGATCGCCCCCCAAGATTAATGGACGCAATGGTACCTGTGGATAAAAGAAGAAGACGAAGAAGAAGAAATAGATGTGAGAAAAGTAAATGCAACCAAAAGTACAATACTTGCAGTAAGTACTACAAAAGAGAGATGTCTCACTTCTTCCATCACTAGCTTGACAGATTTACTAACAATATCCATTAGTCCATCATCATCAACCCCACAGTCTCTTAGCTCTTGGACCGGTACATCACCAGCATCACTCAAGACACGAGGATCACACACCTGTTTGCCTGCATGAAAAATCGATAGTTTTGTAAGTGACATCACTCGGAGGGTCCATTTGGAACTCAAAAAAAAAGCTAGGGAAAGAAAATAATGAAGAGATGAGAGATGGCTATTATCAAACTTATACGATTGGATGAGGGGAGTGACATTAGTTATTTAGGGTGTGGATTTAGTCCACACCCCATGAAATTTATATACATATTTTAGAAAATTTTTCTCTTTCTTAACCAACATTATCATAGAAAATATAACGATATATCTCATGTCTAATGGCCCCTCACATTTTAGTTACTCCCAAATAGAGTTGAAGGACAGGTTGTTTGCCAGAACAATCAAAGTGAAACATGAAACAGATAATTGTTCATCCAGGTTTATTTATATCATCTCTACTATACAAAGACTAAGAAATCCAAATATATGTAAAATTTTATCAAATTTCAATTTTCCAGGTAAAACCAACAACAACAACAACCTTATCCATGTGAAAAAACATAGAGGCTATTTCAGTGAAACCATCAATGCATTTACTGCAAAAAAACTTCATAGAAAGTGAGAAGCAACTAAGCAAAGGGAATTTAATGTGCCATTTTGATCTGGTCCATTATTGACATGAAGCTATATAACATAACTTGCAGTGTCCCAAGTCAACAAATATATCTTCGCTCTTTAATAAATCAGTTGCATAAAAGCTTAATTCTACCACCTTCTTCAGTGGTAGAGTTTGTGCTGCCACACCATATAGCTTCACGAATGCGGGGAGGAGCAAATGCAGGCCCTTGGAGAAATGAGGAGTTATGCCCTAGAGGAACCCCAAGAAGGGTTGGCGATGCTACTACACCCCCTAGAGCACGGAGAAGTTCTCCCTGCAACAAAGTATTATTTTTAAACTGAGAACAACTAAAACAGGAACATGTCATTGTCTAGTACCACCCCCTCATGTGTATTCTATCATATTCAAACCAGCATTTTTCCCTTTAGAGAGACGAGGTGAAATATGACGAGAAAGACATTTTCCATTGTTTTCCACCATCCTCTTTCTCTCTAATGGATGGAAAATTCTCTATTTACATCCCCTTTCTTATTTTACCTCAATCCAATTTCCGAACACAAGAGTTTAATTATAATGAGAAAAAATAAAATTTCCTTTTCTTATTTTCCTCTCCTCTTATATAAAAGTTCTAAACATTTCCTTCAATTGATAGCCAAAACATACACTCCCTCCGTCCCAAGAAACATTTCTTGACGTCCTAAAAAAACATTTCCTACTTAATTACCACCTTTCACGAAAACCTTGAAAAAAACAAAACAAGAAGTGTTCTTTGGCTAATGTTTACTAAATTTCCTCAAGATTACTGATTTAGGGGAGGGGAGGGAAGGGGATTCATTACAAATTTACAAGCATTCATACCTTCAGCTTAGCCCTCTCTCGGATAAGGGTCAGAGATGCTTCAATGACACGCTTTTGCCCCTTCTCAATCAAGTCCTTTGGGATGTTTTCGGCATTCAATTTGTGCAGATAATGGAATCCCATTTTCCCCAGCTGGTTTTTCATGTTTGCAGATGAAGATGAAGAAGAAGAAGACCCTGCTCTGCAACAATGATGCCCAAAACCCTATACTAATGATTTCTTTGGAAACGACACTGCATTTGATTTTCAAATCGTTGCCTTCTTCCGTACTGGGTATTATTGTACATGCATGTCACGGGCAAAATGTGACATTTGGAACTCCAGGTCTTATCTTCCATGCATCTGGTCATACTTTTTTGTGTCTTCACCATTTTTGTCCAAATTTAGAAACTTATTAATTACTCACCCCTCCCATTGTTTTTAGTATTCCCTATATAAGGCGGGCGATACGCATTGATAACTGTACGGGTGGACACGGTACGGTTCCGGGACGGTTCCGGTTCCGGTACCGCCACCCCATGTCACCGGAACCGTCACCGTGCCGGCCGGTACCGGTTCCCGGACCGGCCGGTTTCGCCCCCCCTATTATTATTTTTTTGCTTTTTTAAAAATTTTTAAAATATAAAATTGTAAATTTGCAATTGTTTAAGGAAAGAATAAAATAAAAAATCTAAAAATGTAGTTGTTATTTAAATATTTTAAATAAATAATACACTAACTGAAGAACAACCACATTTAATATCCTGACGGTTCAAAAAAAGCGACGAGGTAAAGAACCGTAAAGAAACCCTCGAAGGAGCTTATATATCGCTCACCTTAAAAAAATAATTACATATTTACATTAACATAAAAAAATTATAACTTATTCTTCAGAACTCGGACTTCCATCTGTTGTTGCATTCATGTAATGCTCCGATTCGAGTTGGTACGATGACTCTTGAGCTCGACGTCTTGCCAAGAGCCAATCTTGGTTGCAAACCAGTGTTTCAAGAGATTCAGCGCTAAGACAACTTCGAAAGTCGGTTAGAATGTTGCCGCCAGCACTGAATTCTCGTTCAACTGCTACGGTTGATACCGGAACAGATAACACTTATCTTGCTAGCATGCCGAGACATGGGAACATGTGTTCGTTCCGCTTCCACCATCCGAGCACGTCAAAATCCACGTCGTCGTCATCGTAATCGCATGACACACCCTGGTACATAGCAAGTTCGTTATGCAAGCTTACTGTTGTACCACTTAAACTCGTCGAAGAATGAGCACGCTTCCCTTTCTTTGCAAAAAGACCACCGACTATTCCGGCAAAACCTTTTTTTGATTTCGGGGGCGGAAGTGGTGCTGTTTCTTCTTGTACAGTGCCGTATAACCCTTAATATTCCTTAAACAAATTCTCAAAAAAAGTTACAGCATTATCTCTTTCTTTTTTCCATTCTATTAAATGACTGTAGTAATAACTATTTTCATCTAAAAAACAAGTGTGGTAATACTCAATTAAAATTTTAAAATTTTCAATCTTAAAGCGTGGATCACAAATAATACCTACTCCCTCCGTCCTATAATGATCTTCCCGGTTCATTTTACGAAGTTTGACCGACTTTATTTTCAATTCAATTTATTTGATTGTAGGTGTAAAATTAAAAAATAAAATTTATATATTTAAAAACTACATCAAAAGTTCTACAAAACAAGTGGTGACAAGACTATATTATTTTATCAAATACCTAATGAAAATAGGTAAAGAAAGTGATTAAAGTTTGACCGGGTAAAAAGTGTGTGGGAAGAACATTATAGGATGGAGGGAATATTTTATAAATATCAAGAATGTACAAATAATAAGCACACCATTTATCTCTCATAGGAGAGACATAAGGGTACAAATCCAGATCAGCCATACTTTCACGAAAACATGTTGCAATTGTAATGCACTCTTTAAAAAATGTATTTGTAGTTGGTTGGTAAACATGAGAAAAAGTAAGAGTTGCGTTATTAAAAACTTCTAATACGGCATTCAATTTTTCAACAATAACAAATTCAAAAGGATCAATGATTATACGAAGTTCATCCCTAAAAAATTCAGCCTCTTTATATCTTAGAATCTGATCAATCAATTTGTAAGTACTATTCCATCTAATGACAAGTAACACCCATATAAGACAAATTATGATAAGTTTTACCCCAAATATCAGAACAAATAGCAACACGAGAATTAAAATTGAGAAAAAAATTTGCCAAATTTATTTTTCCAATTTTATACTGACGAATAATTTCTCGTTTAATTGTTTTTCTTGAAAAAACCTCGTGCTTGAGGGTTTAATGCCTGTTGACAATAATCAATAAATCCAAGTTTTTCAGAAAACATGTATGGCAAATTTTCTTCACAAATCATTTCGACCATTTTTTGCTTATTTTGCTCGTTGCTATAAGCAAAAAGGCTGCCATTACCTCTGTTAGCAAACCGAGAAATTTGGGTTTGCACTTCTTGTCGTCCCTTCTTTTTTGCCTTGTATTTGGCGTACTCCACGGGATGCCTCGGCTTTAGGTGTTTTTCCGGACCGCCATAACCGCCAGAAACTCCCATTTTTATGACGGTCCCACAATGTTTACAAGTTCCATAAATTATGCCATCTTTTGTTTCTTTGTCAAAATGATAAACAAATAAATCTGATTTATATTTTTGTTACCTTTGTCCGGACCTCGAGAGGTCTCGGGCTCACCTGCCTCCACGTCGACGTCGTTGCTCTGCGGTGTAGGCTCCTCGTCCCCGTCCAGATTATCCAGTCCTGCTTCATCAAGATCTTTGAATACACTATCAAGAGTGGGAAGATTTGCGTCCCCTCTACCAGAATAAATCTGGTCGAATTCTTCATCCGTCATAGCGTCCCCGATTAAGTGATCGGGAATAGTAGGAAAGGAAGAGACAGAGTGTCTTCCTCGAGAACCGCGTCCGCGTGAGGTCGAACCGTCGGAGGTCGCTTTAGCTTTGCCTTTCCTCAAACTTCGATTCACGTCGCCCATATCCACGGACCTTCTACCGGACTCTCTCGACATTTTAATATATATATTTTTTATATTAAAAAAATATATTAAATTTGGAAAATTTAAAAAAAATTTGAAATTTTATATATTAAAATTTCGAAAATTTCAAAAAGTAAAGAATATATTTAAAATATAACTTACATATTTTTTGATATTAAATAAAATAAAATATTAAATTTCAAAAATTTAAATTAATTTCGAAATTTTATATATTAATATATAAAATATTTAAAAAAAAAATATAAAAGATAATAATAAGAATATAAGATTGAGACTTGAGAGATTGAGATTTGAGAATTGAGAGATTGAGATTTGAGAGATTGATAGATTGAGAAAATGAGAGATGGATTGAGTGATTTTTTTTTTTGAAAAAATGGAAGTATTTATAAGTTTATCCCCCCTCCCCCCAATGCCTCAAACGGCTATTTAGCCGTTGAGGCAGGCCCCCCCTCTGTTTTTTCGCAGCAATGCAACGGATAGGAAGCAAAAAAGAAAAAAAATATATACCGGTACCGGAACCGGTACCGAAGTGGGCGGTACCGGTATCGGTTCCCGGAACCGGTGAGACGAACGAGACGGCGTGACGGTGGCGGGTACCGGCGGTACCGTCGCCGGTCACGGTACCGTGTCCACCCCTATTGATAAGACAAGGAGTGCCAATATTGTAAAATCTGAGTTCGATTCTTCACAATTGGGCATAGAGTCTTTGCAAGTACCAGGTGCAAGCTCTACTTTCTGTCATCAATATGCGACTAAAGTCTAAGTTACCTCCTCTCAGTGATCGTCCGACCGAATCTGAAGGGACCCTCAGGGACGGGGCTCATCCTTTTTTTAGTATTCCGTATATACTCGTTTTGATTTAATTTGTAAAATTAAATTTGACTTATGACAATAATGACAAAAAATGATCATACTCAGCGTGCAATTATAATCTTTCATATACAATGAACAAAACTTATTTCTTAATTAATTTGCATACTTTAGGGTCAAAGCATAATCAAATTATATTTTTTAATTGTATTGCTTATCTGATAAAATAAAAAAAATGTTATCACAACATGTATTGTATAAGTTTTGACATATTTTTGTATGATAAAGTTTCTATTTTAACTAAATTGTTATTTGTACCAAATACGAACACTTGCTACTTTAACAAACATATTTGTTAATTAAATTTTTTATTTTACACATAAATGTGAGCAAACTGCAAAGTCGTCCCGAGAAATTAGGAGCCTGACACGACACAACACGAAAAAGATGGACTCTTATGTCATAATGAAGTAGAAATGTCGAATTTATTAAATAATTTTATTTTATTAAATAAATAACTTAAACAAATAAATTTTTTTTATTGTCCCATGTTTTGAATAGATATCTTTATGTTTTAAGTATTTAAAACTATTTTATGCTAATAATATATCCACAAATAATAAATATATGATTTTTGTGTAGGAACCCGCACGAGTAGCCCAAGTGGCAAGCACTTGGTGAAGTTTGGAGAATGACCAAGGATCGAAACCTGGCAGCGACCGTTGTGAAGGCGACTACCTCTGAAAAATAGAGAGAGTCTCTGGTACGCACTAGGATATGGTCTGCTTGGGTCACAGTGATTTACCTCCTCTCACATCCCGTCGGGTCGGGGGTGAGGAGCGCCCGGGTGAGTGATTTCAGGAATGAATTTTGTGTAGGAGTTGTGAACTTGTTACTCTAAAATGTCACACACCAATGGTCTGCGGTCTGCGGTCTGCGTGACCAAAAGTGATTAAATCCAATTTCCAAAGCGCGAAAAGTAACTCTAAATTGCCAGTAACCAGAGCACGCTCACTTGAATGGCGTCGTCTAGGAATGAAGAAGCTGCTCCGAGCATGGAGTGATGGAGGTGGTGGAGGAAATGACAACGGCGGCGAACACCGCCGCATCGCCCGACGGCGGCGACGACGAGCACGACTCCAAGGAGAGAGTTCTTCAGAGATACTTCCTTCAGGAATGGAAGCTCGTGAAGTCCCTCCTCGACGACATCGTTTCGCGCGGCCGTGTTTCCGATATCTCATCCGTTCACAAGATCCGATCCATTGTACGCCATCCCTTCTCTGCTTATTTGGTTCTCCATGCTGCTAAACTTAATGGAATTCACCCTTTTAGATTCTTTCTTTTAGATTCCATTTCTCAATTCCACGCTAATTTTTCAAATAAATTGAATTGTTAATAAATTCATTCAACCATCTTAAACCAAAATGTAAAATTATTTTTTGGGACGGAGGGAGTATTTAATTTCTCCATATTTAGTTAGAGAAAGTCAGCATTTTTTTTGTTTTGGCTAACATACTGAATGTGGTTGTAGATGGACAAGTATCAGGAACAAGGTCAACTCCTAGAGCCGTATTTGGAGAGCATAGTTTCTCCCTTGATGGAAATTGTCCGTTCCAAAACAGCTGAAGTAGGGGAAGCCTCGGATGAAGTTCTCGAAGCCATTAAGCCTTTGTGCATTATCATTTATTGTTTGGTAACCGTTTGTGGATACAAGGCTGTTATCAAATTCTTCCCGCATCAGGTTTCTGATCTAGAGCTTGCGGTCTCTCTGTTGGAGAAATGCCACATTGCACATTCAGCAACATCCTTGAGGCAAGAAAGTACAGGCGAGATGGAAGCGAAGTGTGTGATACTATTATGGCTTTCCATACTAGTCTTGATCCCTTTCGATATATCATCTGTGGATACTAGCATTACTGATAGTCAGTCCACAAGCACAAGTGAACCACCTCCACTGGCACTGAGGATCATAGAATGCTCTAAAGACTACCTTTCAAATGCTGGCCCTATGCGTACTATAGCTGGATTGCTGCTTTCAAAACTTCTAACACGCCCTGATATGTTGAAGGCCTTTAACAGGTAATTTTGCATTATTTACTTATGACAGCTAAACTATTTGAAGTCAATTAGGCCAATAGGATGAAATACTAGCTATAGACGGGGAGTCTTTCAAAACTGCAGGAGATACTAAACATTGTACAGGGACTTAATTGAGCGTTATAGACTTATAGAGACTCATTAGAATTTATGAGTTTGTCTTTCATTTTGTTTTGTATGTGAGTGCATTGGCGCCTTACAACAAAAACTCAGTGCATTTGGTGTCTTGGTCTTATGATTCCATTTTCTTCTCCCAAGTTTTCTTTCATTCACCTTAGCAGTGTTTGATTAGTTTTGGAAACGTTATTGCACAAGCTTGTTAGGTAAGTGACCAAATAATTAGAAAACTACTAGTAGAGAAAATTGCTTCAAATAGTACTTAAACTACATGGCTTTCCACAACCTATTAGTTTTTTTACTTAAATAGTAATTTTTTTGTATTAATATGCCAAGTTAACCCTCAACACATAACTTCCGTCCCATGAATCAAACTGACTTGCAGTTAATAATTAAAGGTTTGTTTTGCCCTATAATGTTTTGTGCGGCTAGTTCTGTTACAAGTTATGGAATACACATGAGTCTTGGTCCTATATGAGTATTTCTCCCTAACTAGTATACCACATTCAATTTTCTGGGAATCAGCTCATCGAAAAGTCGAGCATTGTTTCTACTCAATTTGTTAAACTACTATCCTTACTCAAGTTACTTGCATTTAGTTCCATATTAATTTCCACCATATTATGCCCATGAATTTATGATGCTCATTACTTTTAGAAAACTAATGGACACTGTAGACATTGTGAACATAGTTGTGATCAAGGTGATTGTGATGATTTATTTCCACTTGTTTTCACCAGCTTTATTGTTTGGGCACATGATGTCATGTCATCTGATGCAAATGACATAAATGACCACTTCCAGTTATTGGGTACAGTTGAAGCATTGGCTACCACATTCAAGGTTTGTTACCTCATCCTCTTCTATTTCCAGGGTTCTTCATGAATTTAATACAAAACAAATGTTTCATTTTCATTTTAACACACACACACACACCCTCTGCCTCTAAATAAGCATCAGTTTACGGATGACGACATGTGACTGAAGTTAGTTTCAATTTTTTTGAATATTTGAAAAATAAAAAAATAAAAATTTACGTATTCAAATCTACTTCAAAAGTTTTATAAAACAAGAGGTACCCACCCCCCTCCCCATCTAGTTTTAGATGTACATTTTTTTGCACCTATGTTTGTATAATACTTCCTCCACCCCCTAAAGACTTTGTACTTTCCTTTTTTGGATGTCCCAAAAAACTTTCTACATTATTTCCTTTTATGGAATTGAACACGTGGCTCACAAAAACTTCTCTCCCCCTTCTAAACAACTTCCAACCACTCACATAATTTGATAATTCATTACTTTATCTTAAACTCTGTGAAATTAAACAAGTTTTTTATGAGACGGAGGGAGTAGAACTTTTCTTCAGTAAAGTGAACATGCACATAATTTGATAATTCATTAGATTGATTAGTTAATAATGCATTTACAGTTTTAGACATGATTAATTCATTTTCATGTTATCTTAACCCCATTAATAACCTTTTAGTGTCTTTATTTATAACTTAATCTCATTTAGATAAAATTACACAAATAGAAAATTTGGGTAATCCATGAATTTTTCAAATATAGACTGGGAGTGCGCAAGTATTGCTCAATGTGGTTCCGACTGTTTGGCAAGACACAGCTGCACTGGTGAAGTCTAGCAATGCAGTAAGAAGTCCATTGCTCCGCAAATATCTTGTAAAGTTAGCTCAACGAATAGGGCTTATGTGCTTGCCTCACATTTCTCAATCATGGCGCTACATGGTTAGTCTAATTATGGTGATTTTCAGGTTTCTTCACTGTTTCATATCCCATCACATCATGTCATACAGAAAAGTTTTTGGAAAGTCAATGTAGTCAGTGTTTAAAAGAGTAAAGTCACTAACTACTGCTGGAATCATATAACATTTTCTGAGATTATGCTGCTGATTTTCCTCTCAAGGTCTTTATTCTCTGTCTGTTTCATTGTCTTGCAAGATCTAGTGTCTTTATGGATTGTTCATGAAAAACTTCTTTATTGAAAAGACAAATTTCCACGAGTTCTCATTTTAAGGTCTCATTATCTTCATCGTCTAGGGCAGGAAGCAAACTCTTGGAGAGACATCCAAAGACTTGACCAGAATTGATAAAAACAATGAAACTGCCATTAGAGATCCTTCAGAGTTATTTCAGGAGGAAGATATGGATGTTCCTGAGATGGTAGAAGAGATTATTGATGTTTTGTTGTCTGCACTGCGAGATACGGTATGTTAAGGCCTAAGGGATGAGAAATTGTTTTATTAGCTAAGTACATATGCTAGTTGTTCTTACGTGCCTGGGGTAAACAAAAGATAATTCACTACCATGCTTCTCTTTTTCTAGAAAGCTTCAGTTTTTTTTGAAATTTTTTCTTTTATTGTAACCGTCAGAATTCATTATGCAATCATGTCAGTTTAGGAATCTTGTTCTCATACTGTGCAGGACACTGTCGTGCGTTGGTCTGCTGCAAAGGGTATTGGCCGTGTTACTTCACGCTTAACTTATGCACTTTCAGATGAAGTTCTTTCATCTGTACTGGAGCTTTTTTCTCCCATTCAGGTATTTGGTCAACAACTAACTTTTCAATATATCAATCAGGAGATGGGATAAACATCATCTCTAAGATCTTTCAAATTATCTTGGGATTGCCATGTGCATGTAATTCATGTGAATTTATGTGTTGATATTGGTTCCTAATTTTAATTTGAGCTTCTGTATTCTTCTATCACAGGGTGATGGTTCATGGCATGGAGGTTGCTTGGCACTGGCTGAATTAGCACGTAGAGGATTACTCTTACCCATCAGCTTTTCAAAAGTTGTGCCATTTGTAGTGAAGGTTTACCAATCTTGCCTGTTACTTTTCTGGTATAATAGAGTACTTCTCCATTTTGTTGGCTTCTGTGATTTCACCTGATAGTGAGGTTATTGTTGATGGTTGACCTTTAGTTTTACTTCAGAGTATCAAAGATTGATTAACAAATGTCCTTTTTGCTAGAGTATGACTTTGATCTTTTTCTGCTCCTTAGTCCTCTCCTCTCTGGTCAAAGATGTTTCTTTGAGATCCCGGGAGACCTTCCAGTTTCCTTGGGTGAATATAATTTATATTTGTTTGGGTTGTGAAACTCTCTCCCTCTCCCTCTCTCTCTGAAATCCATTTAGCGTGTGGGTCAATATATCATGTATTCATGTATTCTTTGCATTCTTCTAACTGGGAAACCTTCATATTGACAAACTGGCATCTCTTATTATAGATATATTGATTGAAGATCATATGGTATACTCATCTAATAAGTTGTACTTTGGGGCATGACTTTGACAGGCCTTACATTATGATGTTCGAAGAGGTCCACACAGCATTGGATCACATGTACGCGATGCTGCTGCATATGTTTGCTGGGCATTTGGTCGTGCATATTATCATAGAGATATGAGAAGTGTACTTGAACAGCTTGCTCCGCATCTCCTGACTGTTGCTTGTTATGACCGAGAGGTTCTGACAACTGCTAATGAATGTTTCCCTTTCTCCACTATTTGTTATTCTGTAGTGCGTATTTAAATGATTATTGTTTGGAATCTTCTGCTATTGTTTGTACTTGTTGCTTGTACTTGGTGTCTTATCTGTGCTATACTGTGTTCTCTTCCATATTTTTGTGCAGGTGGAGCCGGGGGTCTCTTGGAAACAGCCTCCCTACTTCCGAGTAGGGGCAAGGTCTGCGTACACACACCCTCCCCAGACCCTACTGGTGTGGGATTCAACTGGGTTGTTGTTGTTGTATTTAAATGATTAATACTCTGGCTCAATCTCCAGGTTAATTGTAGAAGAGCAGCTGCTGCTGCTTTTCAAGAAAATGTGGGTAGACAAGGAAATTACCCACATGGCATTGATATAGTGAATACAGCTGATTATTTTGCACTTTCTTCCCGCGTATACTCTTATCTCCACGTTTCGGTTTGTATTTCTGGATATGATGGATACCTACACCCTTTTGTCAATGAGTTGCTTCATAACAAGATCTGTCACTGGGTATGTATTTCTTCCCTCAATGTCAGTATTATTTTACCACGAGCTTTTGTTTTGGCATTATTGGCAATTTGGCATAACACTTTGATGTAAGTTTTTCTTGATGGTATTTAATTATTTTTTGTCGATATATGGTAGATTACACCATTTATGCTCCATTTGGGAGAGGTTTTAGTCCATTTTTAAAAGCTCTTAATGCAGGTTTCTGGTTCATTAGGATGCTCTCTATTTAGAACTTTTAAAGCACCAAAACGTAATACGAGTATTTCAAAAGCTATAGTTTGATTTCCAAAAGCTACAAAAGGGTGAGCTTTTGGAATATTTTATAACACAGTCTTGAATATATTAAAAAATAATAAACTGAAAAATAGTACTCGTAATATTAGTTCTAAGAATAAGTGAAAAATATTTTCCATTTATAAAGAAAATTTAAATACAAATAAATTTATGGATGTCAAATTTTTCATTTTATTTTCCATTCATTTTATTCTAATTTCCTCGCATCAAAGTAACATTATCAATACACAGCCATTTACTTTTCTAACCATTTTTTAAAACATTTTTCTCTACTCCAAATGCTACCGCTCTAACCTTATCAATACGACAATAACAAATCCAGTTTAATCTCAATTTCGTTGGAGTTTGGGGATCAACACGTATACATCTTTACCCTTGTAAAAAAACATAGAGGTTTCCGTTAGACCCTTGATGCATTGCTGCATATACTGCCCAATACGTTGTAGGAAGTAAGAAGCAAGGGAAGTTTAATGCACCATTATGATTTTGTTCATTATTTGATTTATTTCCCCGTAGCTAAAACATTATTTAAAAAAATCATTCTTTTAGCTCCATTCACACGGGACAAACACTTTTCCACCACTTCAAACACACCTCCTTCATCACTCGCCCAAATGGAGCCTTAATAATTTAAACGTATGTTACTCTTATCCACGTGACAGTGGCTACTAAAAGAACCTATAGCTCATTCTCTGCCAATATTCACTGCACATTGGTTATTAGAAAGAAGTCACAGAAATGTTATTAGAGAAGTCTGTATAAATACATATAACAAAAAGCTCCCCCCCGGCTTTAGTGGTAGGAGGACCACCCAAAATGATTCTAGATAGAAAGCTCACCCAAGTTCGAACCCCAGCGGGGCCGGGGGCATTGACTGCGTGTGCCTCAAGAGGTTGAGAAAGTATGTATGAACAGAACTACATTGTAATAGAGCAGTAGCACTAAAAGAATTGATGTTTACCTATATACTTCACAACAAAACAGATAGGTTGTCTGGTTAAGGTATGTCTCATGTGTATGTCTCAGATGCATGGTTATTTTCCTCTTGTGATTACATGATTGGAAGGTATTGTGTTTTTTGAAATTATATTTTTGAAATTGCAGGACAAAAGTTTGAGAGAGCTTGCTGGAAATGCTCTTTCATCTCTTGTCAAGTATGATCCTGAATATTTTGTAGATGCTGTTATGAAGAAATTAATTCCTTGCACTCTGTCTTCTGATTTATGCATGCGTCATGGTGCAACCTTAGCTCTTGGAGAAGTCACTTTGGCTCTGCACAAGTGTGACTATATTCTTTCCCCAGGTTGGGTTGGTTCTCCTCCCCCTCTTTGACAATCTTCACAAGTTGACATGGAAACATGTTACTTGTACTTTAATTTTGCGTTCTTTAACTAGGAAAAATCATGTAGTGTAATTCTTAGCTTTTGTCATGTTAAATTGGGCATAAACAATCCCCAATAGGATCCCAATGCCCAAGTAGTGAGGTTTACGGTTTACCTCACAGTTATGCAATAAATTCAAACCCAGTAGACAGCATCCGGGTGATTGATACTTAACACACACACACACACACCAAACAAGCGGTCCCAAACCATTACGTGAGCGGGCACCTCACAAATCACCACCAGACAAACTTTAATACCTTGTTCAATCGGGTCCAACCCACCCAAAAGATCCTTAATAAGTGATGTTAACCTCGCACTTATGTACTAGACTCAACGTGAGTAGGAAACCGATGTGGGATAGTCAACATCTTGAGTGTATTGAAATGTTTATCTACGCTTATTATTGCCCGTCTATGTTTGTCCCCAACAGATCTCCAGAAACAAGTAGCTGGTGTGGTTCCTGCAATTGAGAAAGCACGACTATATCGTGGGAAGGGTGGAGAGATAATGCGTTTTGCTGTTTCACGTTTCATAGAGTGCATTTCTTTGGTGCATGTGCATTTGACCAACACAACAAAACGAAATCTGCTTGGTGCACTCAATGAGAATTTGAAGCACCCTAATTCTCAGATACAGGTAACCCTCATTACACTGTATGAGCACATTTTAATATTTTATACAATACTACTGTTTGAAGCTTTTTTCTTTTTTTAATTCAATGCCTGAATTGCTTGTATTCTGTAGGGTGCTTCTGTTGCTGCCCTGAAGAGCTTCATCCCTGCTTACCTTGTGGCTATAGAAAATAAACCATCAATTGACATTCTGGATAAGTACCTTGAACAATTGAATGAACCCAATGCAGCTGCCAGAAGAGGATCGGCACTTGCTCTTGGTATATTGCCTTGTGAGTTTTTGGCTAAAGGATGGAAAAATGTGCTATCAAAGCTTTCAAAGGCTTGTGAGATCGAGGTTGGGAATATTTTCTATTGCCTTCATGTTTGTTATAACAGTTTTTGCCCAAACTTTGCTTCCTTCCCCACTTCCTGTTACCCAGTCACTATGAGGAGTTTAAAATATTTACTGAATACCTTATGTATTCCCTTGACTATATACTTTCACTGTAATTGGTCTTTTTTTACTCAATTGGTGATTGGTCCTCATGTGTGCAATTTAGACTCATTTGCTCGTGCATAATATACTCTATATTAAGGGTATTTTCATCCCTTGATGAGTATGTTGGCTCCAAATTACATAGTTGAGTGCCACATTGTGTCTTAAATTGGGTCTAAATTATGTGAAGTTCAAGTATAAAAATACTCTTCTTATTTAGAACCCAACATGCATGGGAACAAAATTTGGTCCCAATTGCATAGTTCAGGACCAATTTGAGTAATAGTGAATAGTTGAGAGACTAAACTAGGTATTAAATCTTTAATATTGGGTGATGTGTGCAGGAGAATCCTGAAGATAGGGATGCAGAAGCACGGGTAAGTGCCGTGAAGGGGCTTGTATCAGTGTGTGAAACATTAACTTACACAGAACAACTCTCTGATTTCTTCTCTGAAGAAGATTACCATTCTCTGTTTTTTGTCATCAAGAGTGAAGTGATACAGAGTTTGCTTAGAGCTCTGGATGATTACTCCATAGATAATAGAGGTGATGTGGGTTCTTGGGTTCGTGAAGCTGCCATTGAAGGTCTTGAGAAATGTTTATATATTCTATGCAAGAGAGAGTCCAATCATTTGCCAAGTCAATCAGAAGTGGCGCATCTTGAAGACAAGAGGGGATTATTTTTTGATGAAGATCTAGCAACCTGCATTGTTGGAGGCATTGTTAAACAAGCAATGGAAAAGATGAATAAATTAAGAGAATTAGCTGGAAATACTCTCCAGAGAATTTTGTACAAGGAAATTTTTGTTCCATTCATACCTTATAGAGAGAGACTGGAATATCTGGTTCCTAATGACACGGATCTGAAGTGGGAGGTAGGTTAAAAGAGTCCGCATTTTAGTTTTACGAATAGTCTTTAGTTTTTACTGAGAATCTTGGCTATTTGAACTTGCAGGTACCTACATTTTCATTTCCTCGTTTCATTCAGTTACTTGGGATCAATTGTTACAGTAAATATGTGGTTTCTGGATTGGTTATTTCTATTGGTGGATTGCTCGATTCTTTGAGAAAAGTAGCCGTTGCTGCTTTAACGGATTACCTTCAATCGTCAGAAAGCCACAATGGTTCTAGAGAGGAGAGTTTGTCTAATGACATTCTTTGGGTTCTTCAAATGTATAAAAGATGTGATAGGGTCACCACACCAACTCTAAAGGTAGATTGAAAGAAATACTATTTTTGGAATTGTTTTTTGCTCAGTCTGATGTCAAAGCTGCAGTTACCAAACCCTTTTCGTGTTTCTAACCTTTAATGTACCTTCTTTGTTTTAGACTATCGAGATTCTCTTGAGCAAAAACATATTTGTAAACAAGGAGGTTAGTCCGTATTTTCTTGACTTTGTGTGGCTGTTTTACAAAGTCCATTATTTTTCTCTTAATTTGGTTTGTGCTGAACTGATTTAAATGAGCTTTTCAAGGAGCGTTGGCTGGACCAACTGATAATAGAATATATTAGTGCATTTTTTTTGGTGAAATTGGATAAAATGGAGAGATGAAAATTACACCATCATCTTCTAGCTATAATTTTAACATCTATTGTCGTCAATGACATACTTTTTATAGAGGTTAAGTGAATGACAAGAGATCTGGTGATGCCAACTCAACTTATGAAACATGGAAGTGTGTCATTGATGACAATAGATTGTTTCTTATAATTCAGCTTATTCAAGGATAATATCAACAAATTCATCTCATTCAGTCATTTTTATCATCACCTATTCAACTAATGGGCTTGTTTTCTTTTAGGCACATACTTCTGTCTTCTGTGCTGCTGTTTTGGACTCCCTTCTGGTGGAATTGAAAGGATCAAAGGACTTCTCCAAGTTGAATGCTGGAATCGCAATTCTGGGATATATTGCTTCACTTGTAGAGCCTATTAGCACCCAGGCGTTTAGCCAGCTAACGGCTTTCCTCATTCACCGTTATCCAAAGGTACTTTACATGTGAAGAATTAATGTAATGTTTCTATCCTTCAAGTGACTAAACAGACGACCTGAAAATAAAAAAAAAGGTGTCTAGCTATGTTTTCCTTCTTTTTTCCATAACTCTATGTTTGGTTCAAGAAATTTGGAAGTGAGAAGAAACTAAAATGGCAAGGAAGAGAATTTTTGGTGTCTGGTTATAAAGGAAAAGAAAAAAAAAGCTAGGAGGAAAATAAAAGGTGAGGGAAATATAAAGCAAATACGGAGAAGTCATTTTCCTTCCATTGTGGTGAGAAAATAGAGAGAGAACAACAAAACACAAAAATCCACGTCATTGAAAAATAATTTCCTCACTAGTTTCCATACTAACCAAATATTCAGATTTTCTTTTATTTTCTTTTATTTTCTTTTCTTTTTCATAGTATTTTCAAGTCTTTCCTCATTACTCGACCCAAACAGAGTGTTAATGTTTTCCGTTTTCCAAACGGATCTCAAACAAACTTTGCAGATAAGGAAATCCAGTGCAGAGCAAGTATATCTTGTCCTCCTACAAAACACAAGTCTTGTTTCAGAAGACAAAATGGAGGAAGCACTTGAAATTATATCTGAAACTTGCTGGGAAGGAGATATTGGGGAAGCTAGACAAAAGAGAGCTCAGCTTTGCACCATAGCTGGCATTGAAATTGGCCAGACCTCTGGAAATGGGGGTTTACCACGCAAGCCTGCTGGAAAACTGACCAATGCAGATGAAAATGAATCCTACTTGTCTCTGGTTGGATCCACTGGGTTTTAGTCGGAAATGTGGTCCTTTGATTGGCCAAGGAAGACTGTTTGATTGCCTATCAAGCATATGGACCGTTCGGATCAGTAAAACTGATTTGTAGCCGTCTGATAAACAATCGGGCACGTGCTGATATATAATGGCTCAGGTGCACCTAGCGGAGAACCCTTATCTGGTTTTACCATTTTGGTCATTGTGGTCTTGCCATGCTTTGCCATAGCTCATGTTTGGCTTGTTTAGTGTTCGTTCATGTTCGTTTAATTTAAACAAACATGACGGAGACTTGTTTTAGGGCTCTGATTATTAAAAACACACAACCTGAACCACGAGAAGCTCATTTGATAAAAAGCTCATGAACGGGTCAGTCGGTGCTTATTAAGCGTGTTCGTGGACAAAGCCTGATAAGCTTTAGTGGTCTTTAACAAGTTTGATGAAAGGATAGAGTATAATTTTATATACTCTGTATTTCAGTGTAAATTGTAATTTGAGAAAAGTGATTTTTGTTTCAATGATGTGAAAATAGATGTTTATTTGATGTTTTGATTGTGTTTGGTAAGGTTATGTTCATTTGTTTGTTTATTGTTCGGGGACGAGTTAAACTACTCTTGTTAAATTACTCCAAACTTTATTGTAGGCATTAAAGTCCTTGCCATTAATCTTGTATTCAAAACTCATATCGATCATCCCATTAAAACTTACCAAATGAACCTTTAATATCTGAAACATGAGTTATATCTTTAAGTTATGGGGATTGGTTATAACTCTCTTTGTCACGTATTAATCTTCTAGAATTAACCGACACGGAGAGTAAGATAGAAGAGAAATGAATCAAATGATGCAAGACATAAAGAAATTGTCTTATATGAAAAGTGAAACTTGATTTTGAAACAAATAAAAAAATACATTGTAGGTGATGGATACCTTAGACCAAGAAGCAACTCATTTTAAAATAAAAAATCTCGTGTCTTTTTTTATAAAATTAATTATTATCAAGTTTTGCAAAGGTAATAAAAAAAGTTATGTGTAATATTCTTTTTTGCAAATGTAATAAAAAGATAGACTACAACTGGTGTATGCTACCAACCAATAGAAAAAATTTATGAGCAATATTTGTGAAATTCCTCACAACTAGCTTTTATTTCTTGGTGCGAAAAATGTGTGATGTATAATTTGGTGTACCCTGACCCCCCAGTAGTGTACAAAAAGAATTTTCCAGAAGTGTACCCATTGTTGCTAAATAAACTTTATTTTTAATATTCACGTGATAAAATTATACGGAGTATTTTTTCTATACTTGTTTACTTTAAACATCTGTTACAATAAAAATGATGCATATTAAACAAGAAAAATGATGAAAAATTTAGAGGAACAATAACGCTGCAAAATTCAATATACGAAGGACATGAAAAATGATTTGATAGACTTTGCAAATTGCATATAAATATTTTCAGATTAAAGTTATTTTAGAATATACCAAAAATATTTCAACAAGATAAAACGTAAATAAGAGTATGAAAGTTCCATTATCTCGGAACATAACTTGTGCCATCTATTAATAGGCAAAATTTCAAATGGACGTGTTAGTTGAAAAAACAACATAATTTTTCATGTAACATTCTAATCTTTACACTCAAACATTTAATGTTTATGTGAGTTAATAACGATTATTTCTGTAATTTGATGCAAACTGTTGCATCTCTATTATCGTTTAACATTCAAATGTTTGAAATCAAATATTTGAATTAATTAAGCCATTTTACAAAGGATGCTAGAGATAAGTATTACATTTTAAATGTACTACAGAGTATTATTTTATACTTTTGAATGTATCACTCAGAACTTCGTTTAAAACAATGATGTCCAAAATAAAAATTTGCCCTACTGTCCTGGCAACCCCTACTCTACGCCTTAGACCCTACTACTAGGGGTTTCCTCCCCAAATTCTAGTGAAATTTGTAATATTGTTGAACGAGTGTGCACTCTCTATTTCCGAACTCGTTAACATCTATTAAAATTCTCATCCATTCTAAATAAATTCTAATTACATAAAATACCAATGACACTAAAATCACCAACAAAAAATAGTGAAAATAATCATTGGGTTGATTCTTGTTCATGAAGAAGCTTGATAAAACCATGTGAGCTTGTTTTATCCAAGTAAACGAACACAAACTCATTTGGCTTGGCTCCATTAGTAGTTGAGTACTGGTATTTTGGTAAAAGAACAAACTCATTTGGCTTGGCTCAAGCAGAACTCTTTTTGTTTTAACACAAATAATTGAAACAAAGACTTACTTTTCAAAGTAACAATTTATGCTATTATCATTACCAGTCCAAAATATAACACCACATAGAGAGAACAACAAATGTGAAAACTTTTGTTTCCAGAAGCCAATCTTAAACTTCAATTCTGGTTCTTATGCTGCTACTCAAAAGCACAATTTTTTTTTCTCAAGACAAAATTTCAATCTTTTTTTCTTTCTGGAACTACTTCAACCAAGGGAACACAGCAGGAGACGTAGGCAGCCGCGCTGTGAGAACTTCAACTCCGGTCTCAGTCACCTATTTCAACAATGTCATTCAACACACACTCATATATATATATATATATATATATATATATATATATATATATATATATATACAGTTTGGGATTCAGATTCAATTAGAGGCGATTGACTCAAATTAAAGAGTTTCACATATCCACCATTTTTTACCACACAATTTCACCTTTCCCAATAACCATGCCTAGTTCTCTTATGAATAAGAGGGAGTAAAATATAGTTACTGATGCTTACCAGCATCGTGTGTTCAAACTGGGCACTGCGTTTTCCATCTGCAGTCACAGCTGTCCATCCATCAGGCCACATCCGATCACGCCAAACACCTGCTAGCTCCAATATTTATTTACTTGACAGGGCACAGCTCTTATATTACACACAGCTTATAGGGTAACTAAGTTTTTTATTTAAAAAAAACACGCATTAATTACCTGCGTTGATCATGGGTTCAATGGTAAAGGTCTGGCCAGCCTTCATTATACCAACTGCTTTGTTTCCTGATCATGTTAAGGTTAACCAAGAGAAAGTTGGCAGAAAAAAAACATATGGAAGTAAAGAACTCTCTTTTTTTCACCAGTAGTTTGACCAAATAATAGAGTCGTGTCACCTCTTGTTTGTTTACTTTATTTTGTTAAACTTTTGATGTAATTTTTAAATATATAAACTTTATTTCTTTTATTTCTAGACCAATTTCGAAATGAATTGAATTGAAAATAAATTTGGAAAGTGCATCTTTTATTTTGGAATGGAGGTAGTACAAAAGTGAGAAGTCATGAGGATACGGGCATAATGAGGAATATTTGGTGCACAATGGAACAGCTCTCCAATACCATGTCCACAATATGATTTCACCTGTGGACAAGACATTAGGAAATGACACATTTATTAAAAGGTTAGTTTCAACACTTTGAATTCTGAACTATTATATGCTGAGGTGACCGTATCTTTTCAAAAAAAATACATCAACAACAAACCTAGTAAAATCCCACAAAATTAAGGTCGAGGGAGGGTGTCACCTTACCCCTACGTGGGGCAGTACAGAGGTTGTTTCCAAGAGACCTCCCGATCTTTTCAGAAAAGTATATAAAGAAATCCTATTTTATATATTGTTGATAAATTTATCTTAATGCATGTTTTCAAAGCATCAACTTTTAATATTTTTACTAATAGTTTATTAAATGTATTAATGCTCAAAGTAGTGTATTAACAAATGTGAAAGTCAAACTGTTGCAACTAAAAAAGAACAAAGGAGGTATCTAGTGGAGTATTTAAAGGGAACACTCACCACAGAGAACCCTGACATTGTTGCATGACGATTAATGACCTCTCCTACTTCCCGAAAACGTGTTCCGGGTTTAACTGCCAATGCCAAGGAACCATTAGCACAAAAAAATCAAAGAGGATAGACCCTTGATGCATTGCTGCATTTACTACCCAAAACTTCATTGAAAGTAAGAAGCAAAGGAAGCTTAATGGACAAATTCTTAAATCACACCCAAGTTGCACAAAAGAAATACTCACACATAAGCAACAAATTATTAGAGAGATTAGCATTTATTTATTTTATTAATTTGCTTGTGTGAGAAGGTCGAAGATGCAACTTGAGTGCATGATAGAAGCACTCAAGAGAAGTAGTGAATTCTTCCCTCTACAAAATACATATAATAAGAAAACAACACCTACCTATTGATATAGCTTTTTCCAAGCATTCATATGTACATTGAACAAGCCGCTGAGAAGTTTCGTCAACATTACCAACAAAGAAAGTTTCATTAAGATCGCCTGCATGGTCAGTGGAACAATAATTTAGGAAAACGATCAAATAATTGAATAGTGATATAGATATGCGGTGATTCTTACCATGGACTCCCTTATAACATACTGTGACATCAACATTTACAATATCGCCATCCTCTAGCTTTCTGAAAGGAAAAGCGTTTCATAGCACTCCATTCAGTCAAATAAGTCAAAATACACTTATTCTGGTAATGTTAATGAGCCGAACTGAAGAAGCCAAAATATACAAAGTACTAAAAAACAGAGCCTTAGTTTTTCATGCTTGAATAAAGGATATAACCTGGCATCAGGAATCCCATGGCAGATCACTTCATTAACTGACCTGCAGCAAGTATCAATAAAACAAATTGCTCACGATAAGTCAATCACAATACAAACCACAAATCATGCAAATTTATCCAATACCAAATACCTACGTGCAGCATGATTTGGGGAAAAAATGATAGTTTAGAGGAGACGGATATGCACCTGGAAAGGGTAAAAAGATAATTTAGCAAAAGCATAAGATATACGGAGTACTCCGTATGTAAATATAAAACTCAACAACTACTTATAGCACTAAGAGTCAACATACTCAAACAACCAAACATATCGCTTTGTTGATAATGGTTTATAAAAACCAAACTCATGACATATGTTAACCCAAACTTTTCCAGTTATCAAATTAATTTCACAGTTTAGGTGAAATTAAAAATATTAAGCCAAATGTAAGGTCAGCATACCAGCAGCAATGGTAGCTTCATGGACAACAGCATCAATTTCATCAGTGGTCACACCAGGTTGAATAAAGCGAGCAGCTGCATCCAAAACTTCCCTTGCTATCTGAAACTCATGTTAGTGTTATAAAATAGTACTCCTTTCCCAATTCATCATATCTATTAAAATAGTACTCCTTTCCCAATTCATCATATCTATTTTCCTACTTGGTCCATTCCATTTTAACATGTTTGTTTACATTTATTAATAAAAGCATCATATGGTTTTTCTCGTGTCTTGTGCGCATTCAAAGTAGGCATGATAAAATAGGACGTAGGGAGTAACGATTAAGAACCAGCGATTAAAGTGCTAATGATGATGTTGATGATGATATTCAAGAGTGAAACAGCTGTGGAACAAAATATGATATGAAATGGTACTATTCCAGTTTGCGTCAAGTCCAGACTTACACGGCAAGTTTCTCTCATTTGTTCAATTTGTTCTGGAGTCTTGATCTTCATGAGATGCAATTTGAAGACAAAGAAACAAAAAAAAAAAAAACTGTTACAATATAGTTTGTTAGTATAACATACCGAAGACAATGGCTATTGAGACAAACATTCAAAAGAGTACCTCAACCACACGCTGCAGATCACTGTTGGGTTCAATTTTAGGGATACCCTGCATAAGAAAATTTAAAAAATAAAAAGATTGCTCGAGTTCAAGTGATAAAAGTATTTACAGGATTGAGAAAGGATAGTCATTGGTGTGAATAGTCTATAGATCATGAAGTTTTCCTTTCCAGTCCCAACTTGCAATTCACAGTACACACTACACAGTTCTAAGAAATTAAGCATTTCTTTTTCTATCAGTGTAACAAATCACTAAGCTACCATCCGGAACCAGACTATGCCTCACACTCTCTTCTTCAAATAACACCTTATCAAGACACCTATTCACAACAAAAACTTGTTACTTATGTCTAGCACATATATAACTAGCAAAATATGGAGTGGAGTGTTTGCCGTTAAGATGCACCCTAGAGGAATCAAAGATCTATTCTAAGATCTTCATTTAGGCCTATGGGCACATATGCTGCTGCCTGGGCAGTTTTATTATGGAGTATTATTTTACAACATCCATTTACACTCATGTACATGTCACAGTTACCAAGAGGCTCGCTACGTAGGGAAAAGCAACTCAACAAATGTTAAGTAAAAATAACTAACATCAACAGCCCAATCAGGTTGCTCGATATGACCAGGAACCACACGTTTACTTGAGATCGGATATGGCTTTAGTGTCCTGTGAAGACAAAAGCAGCAACGCGATAATTACTATATACTCGGGGTGAGTGGGAATTTACTCTGAAGAAAAATGACCGGGGGGGTTAGAATTTAGACAAGATGGGTGAACAAAAGTAGACAAAGCTATTAACTTGTAACAGTAAATATGAAATGACAGGTCCAAAAGGAAATCGTAGAGTTTGTAAAGATCACATGAAGTGATTAAAACCATTGCCACTTAAAAGAAGAAAAAACATGAAAACATGAAGAAAAAAATCCACATTTGAATTATGATTCAACCATGATCTAGAAGCGGTTGACGTGTATATTTCATTTTTATATTAGCTGTTTTGTTTTCTTTAACCCCTTAAGCAAACAATTCTTTTCTTCTTCTAATTGAGTAGAATACCCGGTCCAGTCAAAATGAGGAAGTTTTGGTGTTCGAGACTGTCCTTTCCTCAAGCAATATAACCATCCATCAGTAGAGGAACCATTATTTTCTCCTGAAGTGTCAGTTGAGAGAGAGGACAATTTTGCCTTTAAATGAACTACTTTATGGGAGGTCCAGGAGGCCTTAAAACAATCCTGTGTGCTGTAAAAAGAAACTATGTTCATCAAAATTAAATCGATAAAGTTAAGGATGTGGATGCAATGAATCTATGGTGAGCATCTGAGCATATACAGTTAAAGTGCTACACCTCTTCCTGTTAGAAAACATTGCCAGCTTTGAGAATCTCAAGCACTACATTCATCACTGATAACATTGCAACACAATTCAATATTTCAATGACAAAAGAAAGGTATTAACTTGTAACCTTACGCTATCAATTGAACACTTTCAAGCAATAAAATCATCCACCATAAGGTGATGTTCTCGTCACCTTATTACTCATTCTTATTTCAGAAACACTCAGATTACAATGCACCATATATCACACCAGACTAATAGAATAACGATTGAGATCATTTAGATCAAAGCACACCAGATTTATATTTCAAACAAAAACATTCAGATCAGACCAAAAAGATTCACAACAGACCAGAAAGCACTAAGATTGGACCACAAAGATGCAAAACAGGTCAAACCAAGCCTTTTTTAGGAAAAGAGAGCATGTCCTACATCACATTAAAAGAAATTTGATGGTGTCGTTCAAAGTTACAAACCAGAATGAAGCTCCTTCACGAGAAAGCTTTAACTCGATGCATTTGGGGCACCTGCAAAACAAAATAAGTATAATAGCAAAAAATGGAGAAGATGTTGGAAGATTAATAAATACAAAGCCTTTTTCTGAAGGTATAGACGACAGGAACAAGCCAGAAACAAGTAAACTGACAACCCACACGGTTTACAATTCCATTTTGTTATGCTGTATAGAAAACTCAAGCGCTTGACAATAATTACAGCTGTACAGTGTATTAAAGTTGAATAAGATTAAAGTTTAACAGTTCTTTAAGACAAATTAATAACCAACACACTTACACAACTTACACTTTGATCACAAAATTAAAAAAACTCCGTATGAATTACTAACCTACCATTCAACAAACAACTAAACCCAGCATTAACCCAACTCTATTGGAGCCCCCCCCCCCCCCCCGGGGGGGGGGGGGAT